CCTTGAGGAATTCCTCCAAAGCTTCATCAATTGTAGCTTCCGGTAATGTGCCGATCGCACTGGCGGCTTTACGTTGGAACCAGGACAGTTGGGAAAGCTCGTACCTAAAACGTCCGATAAGATGATGGGGCAATGGGTCATCGGGAGACAGCTCGATTGCTTTTTCGATATGCTCTTTATATATGATACCTCCTCTCAGACGATCTATAGGATTCTCAAAATCTCCCATCTTGCCAATAGAGAGAGCATACCAGATGTGACTCTTCGGATTAGTGTTGTCCAATGTCAATGATTTTTGGGCGATTTCCTTAGCTTTAAGAATGAACGCTTTTTCGGCATCTTGGTTTCCTCGAGATTCTTCCAACAAGGCCATTTGCATGTGAGCTTGGGAGAGTCGCCATAAAAATTCGCTCTCTTTGTCGAACTACGTATCGTCAATATCGAATTGGCAAACAACAATGAATCAACAGTCCAAAGTCGAAAAGTTAGACTTACCTTGTTTTTATGGGATTCCAATAATCTATATGCCTCGATTTTGTCGTCGTCACTACCTTTTAATAGCGTATCGACCTGTTTAGAAAGTTCTGGCAAGGAGGAATATGTCCGGATTTGATTCGACGCCTCCTTACCTAACAGCAGGGAGGTAAGCTGGCTCTCGCTGTTTAGAGAAAAAACACAAACACGTTCGTTTTATACAAAGTTCCCTTCAACCTTCCGCTACCCGCATATACCTAATTAAAGCGAAGACAAAAAGGAAAATTTGCAATCGTCCGTTCATAATCACAAAGGCAACAGTTCACTAATAAAAGCTAATAACTTTCCAAAAGCGCCATCTATCTAATCAGGGACAAATCATCAATTTTTTTAACTACCGATAAAAAGACAAGAGGACATCTGAAAATATTTAGCGATAAAAAAAGCCGATCATCGCCTTATCGATATATCGATAGCAATTCATCGGCTGATCGCTAGTGGCTCTTCTACTGAGGTCGACTAGTGTAGTTATTATATATTATGTAATCTTGTTCAAGGGTAATTTTTATTTTTTGTTTTTGTTTATTCTCTACTTCTATAAATCATTGTAAACAAGAAAATTAAATTTACATTCTTTAATAGACATTTAATACATTACTAAAGTGATATTTCTCTATAATCGAACCTTTTTGTTTTATCTTTCCCACGAAATAGAGGAATCGAGAATCTGGAAAATAGCTGAACAGAACACAATATAAAGATGTTTAATATGAAAACGATAGCAGCAATTTTCTTTTTCCTCTCCGCATTCATGCTGTCTACTAAAATGTTGGTTTAAAATAAAAGAGTTAACTTTCGTGTCAACACCTTGTCGTCTATAGAAATGCTGTTTTTTTTTTCTATTGCTATTCTAAATCGGTCAAATCGACCTCGTTTAAAGAATTCTTATCAATTGATAAGATTTCTGAATCTAGATTTCAACGAGGTCGAACGTTCAGACGCACTCTTAGAGGGAAAATCGTTACAGTTCAGTTATCACATATTTCGGCAAGTTTTTAGACGGGTTTCATTATAAATTCCTGGTGAGGTTATATCTATTCTCGACTTTCACTTTAACACTTATTATTTATATTAGTAGCAAGAACGATTAATAATTAATATCGTTTTTCATTCAGATAAAAAGACGACACGGTCATCTTATACCCTTTATCGATATAAGACACGAACGCACAACTATTAACGGTATATGTAATTGTAATTAGAGTAAATGTATGATTCGTTAATTAGGGAATCTCAGGGTGCAAAATGATCATATGGCGCACTCGAGTAAATTAATTAAATTCGTCTGTAGATTCTAAGACGATTAAGAGAGATTAACGTTCCCAATACCGTAGAGAGAAGTCAAAGATGACGACTAAAAAACGCCAAATACTATTTAGTACTGACCTTTCATCCAGAAATCTTTAAAGATTTATTATTTTATGAAAAGAAAAGGAAATGAACATTTTTATAAAAATGTCTACAAAATAATAATAGTAATAAATTAAGATAAGAAGTAATACTAATGATATTACTATATAATAATATAAACTAATATAATTCGATATAAACTAATTAATAAGTAATAAAGATTATTTAACAGGATGTAACAAATGTAATAAAATTATTAAAATGGAAAATAGTTATCAAATGCAAAAAATCATTACATCTATATCAGTTTATCTCCAATATGTTGTATATATAGAATATTTAATCTGTTACTCTTTTATAAAGGGGGAGCTTAACCGCAAAAAAAAAATAATTAAATCAAATAAAATTAAATAGAAAAGGCTTGGGAAAAATAGATTACACGTATAAAGAATATTACGTAATGACATCAAAGTTAGTGCTGGTATGTAAGTGTACTTTATCATGAGTAGTTACGATGAAATGGTGGTAATTTAATTACAAGATTTCAACCCTCATAGATTTACACCACTCTTCCTATTCCATCCTATTTCGTGTGGTGTAATTGATCTATTCTTTTTCTAAATCGTTCTATTATATCCGATTTGTTTGTTCCATTTAAATTCCTTTTCTAACAACAAAGAATCTTGAGAACAGAGATAGAAAAAAAAGGAAAAATATAACGAAAAGAGAAATTTTAAAGAACAGAAAATTTCCTTTTTTCCCTTTAACTTTAGAGAAAAATGAATGCAACGATTAGGAGATAAAAAAAAGAATACAAAGAAAAGAGCTTCTTAAAACATGCTATTTTAATAGATCTTATACGTAGTTTATGATAGTGATAGCAGCGTTAATAGTAATAGTAGTAATATTAATAATAATTAAATTTACCTTAACTTTTGTTGATTTTGTTTGAACATAAGATGAATTTAAGTTTTTTTCTTTATTTAAATATCATTCAAAGCGAGAAAAGGGAAAAAAAAGAGCGAGATAGAGAAAGATAGGAAAAGAGATAGAGAGAGAGAGAGAGAGAGAGAGAAGTTTTTGAGAATTTTTCAGCCAAAACCTTTTTTCTTTTCAATAGTTTAAGACGTAAATTATTTATCTTTTTACACATAAAATTAAAGCTATAAGCCAAAAACAAATAATGAAATTATAATAAAAATGAAAAAGAAACGGTTATGAAAATTTTTTTGCCAGAAAACTAGCGAATACTCTGCATTAAGTAATATGTAGAAAAGATTTTAAGCATAAATACATTGGATCATATAGAGTTACTGAACACACACGTGTCTGGACTAGAAAAAAGAACATTCGATAAACTCACTCTAGAGCTTCTTCGAATTCTTCACTCTCATCCTCGCTATCCTTGCTATCGACTCTTGCATTTTGCTGATTCTTCTTTAATGTCTTTATCTCACTAATTAAAACTTCCAATCTAGTTCGTACGATCCTCAATTCATATATTAATTTTTGAAGATAATTCTGAAAATAGATGCAACTTCCTGCTCCAATGATCAAACCACTGGCAAAAACGGCTATTGAATAAGCCTTATTCTTCAAAACTACACTCATTCTGTATCTTATAGTCTTTTTATTACGTAACTGACACTAAAATAACTATTATATTAAACAAATCTGCAATAATGGCAAATATTGATGAAAAAAAAATAGTCGTCCTTGACCTTGATCAGCTGTTTTATGGTGTGACAGTTCGGCAGAGATTTTTTCACCCTCCCGCTGGCTGTACGGAAATTTTGCAGTGAGTCTAGTTAATTAAGAAAATCCCTGTAGTATTCATAAGGTTAGTCCTTCAAGATCACGTGATGTTATTATATTGGAAAAATATATCTCAGATTTCGCACAGGGAGCCTTAGAGTAAGCACAGAGATAAGAATCGTTAATTGAACGTTCTGAAATCTTTCAACGAAAGTTAGTTAAATTAGTTAAAGACATGCCCTATGTTGTAATTAGCACCAAAGTGCGGCTGGTTTGTATGCATATTGTTTCAATACAAGTTTGTTTAGGAATCTATCATATTTCTTGTTTGTTTAGGAATCAGGGCCCTGCACTGTAGGAGACGCTGATAGCGATAAAGAACTTATGGAATATCTAGATGCAACTTTAACAAAAAAAAGCGGTAATAATTTGTAAGTATATTGTTTGCAATAGTGAAATTATGTACATAAAAGAAACCTTAGCATCTCCCACCATTGCTATACTTTGAACTCTTTCTGCATATTTTACAGTTACGAGTACGAAACTAGATATGTGCCTCGAATGGTTCTGAATATGTTAGAACAGCGAGGTTATTATGTTGTAGCAATGACCGGGGTTGGTCAAACATGCATGTGGACACTTCATAAAAAATAAGAAATCCAATTTTCAGAACCGGAAGTATAGATGACGCTATCTTTCAAGCGTCCTTGACTATCATATAATATATATATATATACTAATATATACAAGTCTATAAGAAAAACACCAACGACATCTATTGTATATTGATTTAGTACAAAAGGAAAATAAATTGTTTTTTTTAAAGATATCATATTATTCTGTTTATTTAATACAAAGATGAAAAAACGGCCTATAGTTACATAATTATTATATTTGGAAACTAAAAATCTATCATAAGCAAACAAAATAAGCACTTGAAAATATGGACTTTGTTTTGAAGACCCACCATTGAAATGGAGATTACGAAAAAACAATACACAAATTATAAATTACATTCTACAACTTCTCACTTTGTAATTCAACCTTTAACAAATAGTTTGTCATGTGTTATCGTATGATATTTTATGGGTCATGTGACAATGAAAAAGGCTAGGGTTGAACATTTTACTTGTAAACTTGTACATGAGTAGGATATGCCCTACATAACCATAAGTGTGAAGGAAGTTCCGGTAATATTTAATTCTAGACTTTGTACTTTAGTCATTGAACACCTTTGGAAAATTTTAAACATTTCAGGTAGCGAGGGATTTCCGTTGTATTGTAGGCGACGAAAGTAGCGATAGTAACATGATGGGTTATTTAGACGCCGAACTGGTGTTAATTCCCGTTGAGGGCGGAAGGTATTAAGAAACGTTATGTAATTTTAATTTAAAGCATTTAACTGGTATTCTGTTTTTAGATCGAGGAGATTGTACTTGACAAGAGATTCCCCTTGCCAAATTATGAATAAGTTAGAAAGGCGTAATTATCATGTAATAGCGGCTACCGGATATGGTCAAACATGTACTTGGACACTGTACTCAAACTGTGACAAAATAGTACCTAATGGACACTTTCGTGTTTTCCAATCTTATTGTTAATCATATTCTTTTAATGTCTACAAAATAAAAGTATCATATGCTACATTGCTATATATAATATAGATAAATAAGGAAAAGCGTAATCCTTCCATACTAAAGTCTATTTTTGATTATGTTCTGAATATTTATATTATAAAGAAATCTATTCTAAGAAATTCCCCAACACTAGTAACAAATAGAAACTTTGAAAGCCTATTTTTTACCCAATAAAAGCATCAAGTAAGAGCAATATCTCAAAATAAGGATGAATACTATTGAATATTCATAACTGCTTTTTATAGTGTTTATAAAAAATTAGAATCAGACCAACACAACAAAATAGAAAAATAACAATAAAATAACATGTACGTACCTAAAATTAGCCTATTAAGAAAATGATAGAGAAACACAGAGAGAGAGAGAGAGAGAGAGCGACCGAAAGAAAGAGAGGAGGGGGTAGGGAGAAATGGAAGAAAAGGGAGAATTATTTTCATAGATAAGATAGTTATTTAAAAAGATTTCTTCTGGTCGATATGGAAGAAAAAATGTTGGCAATTGATAAAAGATTAGATAAGATTGAATAAAGAAAAAACGCGATTGAATAAAATGAAGTTAACATGTCAATTAAAAAGTTGTCAACATATTATATAATCGATTTAAAAGAGAAAGAGAAAAGAGAGAGAGAGAGAGAAAAGTATACTATGTTGATTATATGAAAAAGCAATCTATCGCTAACTGATAAGAGATTGTTGTTATGTAGTTTAACTTAAAAACTATGATTTGGTAATATCAAGTAGAAACACAAAGCTATAATATTATAAATGTAGAACTGTATAAATAAGGGATATTTTCCGTGTCAATAAGAATAACATTTGAAAATCCTTATCTCCTTGATAAAAATCTTTACCTCTTCCTCTTTCGATAGATATTTAAGCAAGAGTTTCCTGTTTGGATATACTTTTCAGGGATTGTTTATACACCTTTTATTACTTTTAACATTAATTTATAATTAATTTAGTAATGATTTTATCATTATATCTTTGTCATTCCAAATTAGAAAACTATGTAATGGAAGACATTAAGAAATGATAAATCTAATTGATCGTTTTCTCTGATATTTAAATATAAAGATCATCTATGTATTCAGTATAAATTGATATATATATATATAGTATATACTGTAAACGTTGTGAATATAACATCATTATATGAATAAAGCAGGAAATCGGTTAGAAGAGGAAGAAGGAACCAGCGGGTTTCTCTAATTATAACTCTGCCAGCTCCTTCCTAAAATCGTTACATTTTCTTTATAATGAACTCGAGGTTCATGAACGGTTTATTTTTTGTGTTCTAATCGATAAATATTTTCAAAATATATCTATTTTTAAACATTTATACAATGTCATATGTAAATATTAAAATATCACCCCACTTATGAATATTCATAATAAAAGATCTTTCTATGTTATTGATTTTAATTTCTTTATATGAATTTTAAAAGCTTCTATAAGAACATGTCATATGTATTTGTATGCATATATATATATATGTCATAGAACGTAGTAGCCCTTATTTAACGACGTTATTAATACTTTCTCGATACTATATACAAAAGTGTCAATTAGAACAAAGATAATGAAGTCTTATCAGTCAAGACTGTCATTTTTAATATAGTAAAGGAGGAAATTTACTTACTTTTTTCCCTATAAAGCTAAAATAATACCTCTAGTTGTTTTTTTATATAAAAAAACGAAAATAGAATATTAAAAAGTTATTTTCCTTTTTCTGATACTTTTATACGAATAATCTAGCCAGGTTTAATTACAGTTATTGTTATAGAACATATCAATTTACATTATTATTTCTACATAATTGAATAAAGGTTAGTCGAGGAGACTGTTGTTGTATAGGATATCAATACAATAAAGTTTTCCCCCTTTCTCTTTTATCTATAAGCTTGAAAAAAAGACGAGAAAAAGAAAAAAGAAAAAAATGAAAGAAAGGAAGATAGAGAACGGTGACGACAGAATAAGGTTGATTATGGGAAAATTTTCTATCGTACAAAAGAATGAGAGAGAGAGAGAGAGAGAGAGAGAGAGAGAGAGACAGAGAGAGAACGAGAGAACAACAACAACAACAACAACGAGCGAACAGTTTACAACACTTTTTACTATCGCACTTAAATAGAAAAAAAAAAGTAAATAAGAAATGTTGCAATTTATTTTTCACTTGAAAAAAAGTCGATTTATTTTCTTTATAAAAAAAAAAAATACATTTTTTTTAAGAGACGGAAAACAAAATGAAGAGAAGGAGGAAGCCGGTTTTGAATACTATTTAAAATAATTAATTAAATATTTTCAAAACTATTCAAAAATTGTTTTTAACACTTTTTGTGAATATAGTTTTTTTTTATTTGTTGATTGTTAAATGTATATAGAAACATCAAGGACTAGAAAAATAAATAAATAATAAACTATGTTGGTTAATGATGTTACTTTATGCCTTTTCTTCTTCTTTTTCCTTTACGTTAAACCTATATTAGTAATATTTATCTCTTGTTGTAATTTAATATAGGCTTTATCAACGAGTACCAATAAGACTAGAAAACTTATTTTGATTGCTTTTTCTTCTCTCTCTCGCTCTCTCTCTTTGCTTATTTCTAAAAATAAAATGTAGCTGTACATGAAAACTACTAAAAATAAAAATATCTTAAGTCTTTCGTTGTAAATGTCCATTGAAACTATTTACGAATCGCAATAGATACTAAATACTTAAATCTACAAGAAACAAGTGAAGAAATACTACCAAACAAGTTAGGCCATCTAGTGGTTATTAATAGAAATAGTTGCGAATCTATCACTGCTGTTATTACCTATATTCAATACATTCCCTTATAGATAGGATCTTTTAAAGAAGAGAGGGATAAATTGTTGAAAGGATAATTAATATTCTTATCAATATTGAAAAAACTCTCTATTCTTTACTTGATTTTTATTTAGCTTCAACGTATACTGTTTGTAATTGGAATACTATATAATTATTCAAAATTTTAAAGTAATTAGCCCAGCTGGAGACGATCTCGTGTGGCTTTCACTTTTAATTTTTATCAAAGATTAGTGATTATATTCTCTTTTAATATAGAAGAAAACTCTATTATAGAAGAAGAAAGAAGAAGAAGATTAATTCCCCACTCTCCAAGTATTTTTGATATTACCCTTAGGTATAAAACGAAGCTTAGCAGACCTAATAAAATAAATAATAAAGAAAATATGAAACCAAACTGTCATATCGAATTGTATAGAGATAAAAATCTTTGGCTCTCTATTGAACAGTATGGGTTGATTATTGAATAGAATAAAAAAGGCTTGATCAGATATCTATCTGAACGTAAAGAGAATTTAAAAGTTCATTATTTTTCTATTTGACATTAATGCATTTATCATTTACTCCACTGTTATTTATTACTTGTCAATAGCAAAAAGGTCTTTTTCTTCCTTAAAATCAACAAATCACAAAGAAATATGCGTAACAAAAATATACGAATTACTTTTTTGATTAATGACTTTAATACTTGTTTTACGTTTTATATCAATATTATTTATTTATTTCAGATATATTAATAAAATATTTATACATTTTCGCATAAATTCTTTATCAAATTGAAAATAAACAAGCAAGATGTATAACCTTTCCATTTTATTCATTGGTTAGGACGCCATCTATCGGCTTACGAACGTAGTTTTACAAGATGAATAAATGTTTGAAATTCTTTAGTTCCTTTTATTTTTTATGAAATTGTAAATATTAAGCTATTTCCTCTTTATCTTATTTCATTGTTTTTTATCGTCGTTCCAACGCGTTACTTATTTATAGATAATCATTTTATGACGGCAATAAAAGAGAGAGCTGTACTATTTGTTAACTTCACCTTAACGGTTTGCTAACATTTAATTAACGTGTTTCTTTTATCTATCTACAATGCCATATATAAATGTTCGTACATTCGATTGGGTAAGTTTCTAAGCTATTTCTTATATTTTGGTACAAAAAGAAAATTTGTCATGTTGATGATGAAATGAGTAACAGAAACGTAATGAACTATTTGGATGAAACGCTAAATAAGTTTGTTAATATAGAATTGTATTTTATTCTATTAAGCATTTAATCTATTTTCTCTAGCATCTTTATTGTTTAGGAAAGGATCTTTCATCTGTAGACATTCTCCAACAGAAGTTATGAATAGAGTTGGAAGATATTGGCTATCGTGTAGCAACTATGGCGTCTACCAAAGATTCTGTTATTTGGACACTTCATGGTCAACATTACGAAAAATACAGATAAAACTCAAAACTATATAGTGTATATATACACTGTAGTTTAATATTGTAGCCAATCGAATACAATCTGTTCAATTTTGCAATTCAAAGCCAAGAATCACATTGCTACTATTCTTTTTTTTTTAATTCAAAGTGACTATTCAGATTGAATTTAGTTTTTATTTTTAAATATTTGACACATAAAATCATTTTTTTCTCTTCTTTTCTTCTCTTTTCCATTCTTAATACGCTTGTTTCTTTAAAGCAACACTATGGAAAAGTAACAAAACTGGCGTACTCCTCTTTCTAATTGATCTTCTTATTCAGCCCACTATATATACCTTCTTCTTTATTGCGTTCTTGACTGTAACACAACAATCTTAGTTTATAAAGTATTTACAACATTTTCGGAATAAAACAACAAGAAAACCGGCAATTAACATAATTTCTACGTAGTTCTATTAGAACGTTTTTTTAAACTCTTGAATTTAATTAATTTTTTAACAAGTTCAATAGTTTGTTTTTCTCTTTTATTCAACTTTAATTAGTTAAAGAATTAATTAAGAAAAAGACAACGGTACAAACATATACACTTCATATACAACAAAATGCCTACGTGTACAAACACATATGGTTTATATTGTCTTAATTAGCGATGTTTTCTTATAGAAATAGTGAAATATAACAAAATAATCAGAATTTTTAAATATTAAATTATTCAAAAAAAAGTACTAAAATCATGTTCATACTTTCGATTATTATGATATGCAAGTTTCATTAGTTAATCTATTAAGTAGCCATTTTAAAATATCCTTATTTTCAAACTTAGTAACACCTCTGTAAATGGTACAATGTCACGTGATTTTTTCTCAGAGGCTGATTAGTCGAAAAGTTTCGTCTGGCGGGGTGTCTTGTTACAGATGCTTTTCTAGATGTAATATTTACGCTTGTTTTCCGTTTTAGGCGGTTATTTAACGGCTTTATGCAGCCAGTTTTCGTGACAAACTATTGTGTCTGCAGTAATATATTAAAGGTAGAGATATATTTTCTTTTTAAAATACTTATTATATAAGAAAAAATAGTTAGAAAGTCAAAATATCAAATATATATAAACTGTATATAAATGTATGATACATATAACTAATGTTTTATATTCAATATACCTGTTGTAGGGTGTTGTTTTCCATATGCAAATATCATTGAAATTTAAAACCCGATAATACTCCAAACAAGCTTTAAAACTATTCACATTTCAACTATTTTATTCCTTTTGCATTCCATATTTTTTCCTTTTTATATAGATTTTGTTATATTTTTTTGTTTTTTTTTTTAAAAAAAAAGTTTAACAACTTTTTTTATAATTATAAGAAAACGCTATTGTACGCTTACGTTTTTAAACATAGATCGATTTCTAATTAGTATTATAATTTTCTTAATTTATTCATTCATTTAATTATTTAATTAAAAATTTTTCTCATTGTTTCATTTCTATCAAAGAGTATAAATTTTACTTTGGGAATTTTAAATAGTAGAAATCGTTTTACTTTGGTATTAACCTACAAAAATTTTAAGGCTTAGCAACAGGCATGCTTCTAAGTAAAGCCCCTGGATGAATCAGGACTATAAATATTACCTAGGCATCGTTTCCTATGTAATTTTAACCTTATTGTCTAGTTTCCTTTAAAATTTCCATGTTAATTTGCAGTATTAAGAAATATATCTACTTGAACAAGAAGATAAAGACAATTTCAAAGTGAAATAATAAAGCAAAATCTTGATTTTATTCGAATGGAAAGAAGAAAGAAATTTGTGAAATCTACAAGAAAGTGCAACGAATCGGACGTAGGTTTATTCGCATATTTTTCACACGCAGCATTCTTCATATATTTGTACAGCAAATATCTACAAACGCAGTTACAAACCAGACATAGAGAGAGAAAGGAAAACAAGTGGTGCAGAAAAAAACCACAGCTAATACGACCATATTTTTTCTATTACTGGTCGTTAAATTTCAAATTTTAATTAGGATTTTGTCATTTCGTAAAGCTATCTCCAACTGCAAAGTTTTCCTAAAGGGCTTTGTGGGAGGGCAGCAAAGATTTTTTGTTTATTTAATTGATGATCAGGGATAGTAGGGTAGATATTTTCGATTAGAGGCATTGTTTGCGCATATGTTTGGTGCTGAGCACTGGTGAAATGCGATACGTATACGGCGAGTTCACGACCCATGGTTGCACCTGACACGTGATAAGGTTAGGGTTAGTTTGTTTTTTTCCTAAAGGGAAAAAATCTCTTTTTTTAGTTAAAGATATCCCAAAACACGGATTTTTCGTAAGTGGGGTATAGTATTTTCAACGTAAAGAATCACTCACTCCTCGCCACCCTCTTTTACCTCTCCTCTAGGCTCTTTATTCTTTTTATACCACTTTCTTTCTGATTCAGATTTCTTATCATTATCTATCTAAGGGTTCGTTGAGAGAGTTTTCACAACGTAATTAATCACAGTGTCGGCTTATTGGTTATCTATGCGTTCTTTTTCTTTCTTCCGTCCGTCCCTTTTATAATTCAAAGTTGTATAAAAATTAGACTTTTATTGTAAAAATTTGATCTAAGAAAGTAACAAAAAATTTTTCCAACAGTCTTTAAGAAGACAAATGACAGGAGAAAGGTCGTTAAATATCTCTAAAAACAGATTCAGAAAGAGAGAGAGGGAGATAGATAGATAGAGAAGTTAAGAGAAAGGCTTGTCCCCAATTTTTCATATTGATTGTAGCCTAACTTTGAAGTTGATCCAGTAAAAATATTTTCTCTTTATATTCGCTTAGGGTAAAATTCAGGTGTTATATTAAATCTAACATTTCTGGTACGTTTTCCCCTTTAAAAATTCTTTAATCAGTTATATAAAGGTGCTGTTTATTTCTCTACAGCATTTTTTGGGCTCATAACACAATGATTATCTAGCCCAGGTTTCTAACATCTGCCAAAAATATTATACAAACCATAAATAAAGCCTATAGACCTTGAAATTGTTTACGTATTCTAAGTCCTTATTTCTATACGTTTATTTAAAAAAGAGAAGATGAATTAGAAGCAAACGAGAGAGAGAGAGAGAGAGAGAGAGAGAGAGAGAGAGAGAGAGGGAGAAGGAAGTAGATTTCGATTTGTAAAGGTTGGATAACTTTGAAAAATTGTTTCGCAAGTTTTCCCCCGCTGTCTATAGATAATTTATAATAAAAAAAATGAATAATAATCACATATATTTAACAAAAGAAAGAGAAAATAAGTATTATAAATCTGTCTAAAGTATAGTATGTGATAGGTAAATATAAGTAAGGATTAGTTTAATCATTTTTGCCAGAAATTTAATATATCGTACATATTTGGAATGTAGAAAAAGAAAACCTTCAACATATTTTTAACCTATTTATTAAATTTTTAAGCTTTTAAAGGAAGGAGAGATAAAACACGACATTCTTTTTTTTCTATTGATTATTATTAATTACTCTTGAATATTCAAGAGATGGGAACAAAAACAATAGAAATGATCACACATAGATAGGTATATTAAGTAAACTACTACGTTTATATACAGTAACTTTTTTTTCGATCCATTATAAAAGCAAAAAAGAAAATAAAAAGTTTTTGTAAAACATATAGCATCAGTTCAACTTGGAAATATTTTCACTTTTGATCACGTGATGTTTTAACATAGCTCACAGAGTATTATTTCTAAAACAGGGAAAATATTCATAAAAACCGAGTCAATACTCTTCTTTTTTTTTCTTTTTCTTTTTTTTTTTTTTTACAATACTACTTGTATCTTTATTTGAACGTCAAATCTATCAGCGAGTTAATACTTTTTAATGAGTGTTGAAACGGAAATGCTTGTTACTTAAAACTTTTAAATTTTCTATCCAGTTTCTGGACCAAATTGACTTTGAGGATAAACGAGACTCTACTAAATTAAGTGAGTATATGTATATTACCTATATTTTAATGTCTTAAATTAATATTTAACTGGACAAGGTTTAAAAAACAGTTGTTCTATTCAGTCAAAAAAAAAACATTGCTTAAACAAAGAACTCGACTTTGAACGTGTAAACAGGTCTTTCGAAACGAGTATATAATTGGAATAGTAAACATTTCTATCCCGATACATCTTCCTCCGAACATCTTTCCGAACATTTATCCTTTTATGAAGAGGACCAGATGAGTTCAGACTTATGTGACGAGGGTAAATCCCTTACACCTTCTCCGCATTCGTCGAATTATCGTAAGTATTTAACTGTTTCTGCTTTTTCTTTAGTTTTTTATTTGTCAAACAGCTTATTTTTACTTTTTGGCTACATTATAAAGCTTATAGAGGCACTTAAAGAAACTTTTCTCTCTCTCTCTCTCTCTCTCTCTCTCTTTCCCTTTCTATCATTTACCGCATTTAAAAATACTGCTGGTTTCGTTCACTATACAGTAGATCTTATCTCAATCTCTCTCTTTTAAAAGCGCTCTCTTCGACCTTTTTTATCCGTTTTGGAATAAATTATATCTTCCGAGTAGGGCGGACAGGATAAAACTATTCAAAAGTAAATAACAAGAAAATTTATTCATCGGATAATAAATAAGAATATTAATAAAAAAGAAAGATATAGTAGGGGGAGAAAAGCAATAAGAAGGAAAAGAGAGAGAAAGAGGAATGATAACATATGCGTAAGGCTATTTTAATTATTTTCACTCCACCTGTCGGCTATTAATCTTAATATTTTTACTTGGTTAATTTTTAGTAATAGTCTTGTTAAAGGATTAGTTTTAGGATTCAGAAGTCTGCTTTCTATTATCAATGTTTTAGTGTTAGCCGTCTTTTTAGTAGTAGTTAATATGTTTATTTTCCGAGTCTTTTATCGGATGAGTAACTTGTTCATTATAGTTTTCAATATCTTTTTTATTATGACAGATTTTTCAACAGATGATAGGGATAATTCAATTCCTTATGCCGATGGAAGAGGCTCTGTTACTACTGATGAAGAATTGGAAAATAACAGAATTAACGAATATTCACAAAGTCAAATTGAAAATGACGAAAGTAAAGAGAGAGAAGTAGAGATTTTTATTGATAGTAGGATGAGCAATAAGCGAATGGAAAAGAAAAAACAGAATGGAAAAGAGGAGGTGGAGGTGGAAGAGAAGAATGGATATGAAGATGCAAAGGACAAAGAAAGAGATAAGGAAGATAAGAATGAATGCAACAAAGATAAGCCATCTCCTGAATATAAATCCCGGTGTCAAATAATCATTCCTGTTCAAAGGACTGTTGTTATGAATTCTCCAAATTTATATAGGAGATTGGAAGATTATCCTGACCTTTTGGGGAAGAAAATGACAGAAAACTCTGATATTCCGCCCGACAATTACGAGTATTTATTAAAAAGGATTATTAAAAAAAAGAAACCATCACTTCCCGTTTGGTTGACTGAGAACATTTCAGATGTCGAAAGGGATGACACTATAGAAAAAAGAACAGATGATAAACGTTCTTCATCCGAAAATGAGATGTTTGTTGATGATGACGAAGTCGTTGAAAGGTCAAGAAAACCTCCCGAAAAAGAGAAAATAGTAGTGGAAGTCGAAAAAGCCCTAAACAACGTTCTAAGAGATGATAATAAACCAGAAAGAGTAGATCGTTTCGAAGAAGAATTTATCGAAAATGGAAAAAAAGTCCACAGAGTCGTTGAGGTTCATAGAGAAGAGGATAAACCGGGAGCGGAAGAAGTTGAAGTTGAAAGGTTTTCTTTCGATGAAATTAGGTCACGTTTCGAATCAACAAGAGTTCATCATCCGGTTCCCATACCATTTTTTCGAACATCCCCCCACATGCCGCGCAGAACGCCACCTAGTATTAAACCAGAAAGAAGATTCGCCATCGTGTCCAAACCTTTACCTCAAATGAAAAGTTCCAATTCGAGCTACTATAGCCATTTAGGCTTCGATATAAAGCCTAGGTGTGAAAAATTTGTAGAATTTAAGAAAACGATTAACCTAGATGATGGAAAGGATGGTAACGAAGTAAGTTGAAACTTAGTCATCCTTCTTTTTATAACCTAGAAACAGCATAGAGAGAAAATATTCTCTATTCCAAAAGGGAAGAGAAAGATAAATAGTTGTTATATAGTGTATGAAAAAAAAAATTATTGGGCAAAGAAAAGTTTGTGGGTGGTAACCAACTGGGTCATTTATTTTCATCTAACTAAAGGAAGAAAGAGTGCGAACGAGAGAGAGAGAGAGAGAGAGAGAGAGAGAGAGAAAGAGAAAGAGAAACAGGTGTTTTAAATAAGATCTAGCAAATTTTATTCTTTTACAGTTTATCTGCCCTTTTTAACCATTCATTTTCAACTTCTTTTTTTCTTTCTATGCCTCTTAACCTCTTTCTATCATCTTTTCTATCTGGCCAGAAGAAAAAAGTAAAAACCAACTCAAAAAAAAGCTTACATAAACTTATAAAGTATATACTGTATATATAATTGTTATATATACAATATAGCGACTGTTTATACATTATTGTAAACTATTAAGAAATTTCGTACTGTAATTGAAACTCCAAAAAGGATATATGACCACTTTAAAATAGGTCTATAACATTTATAAAGAGTCGATGCTATATACGCATTTTATTTCGGCCTAGAAATTGTACAAAGTATTTAAAAAACAGTTGTAATTACAACAGTACAAAAAAGTTGTTGAATTGAATAAGGCCATTTAACTCGCTACTGTAGATCCTTGGTATAATGGTAATTATTCTTTGTTAAATAGATTATCAATATATATACAAGTCAAAATTACTGAAAAGAGGACTTTTATTTATTTGTCCCCCTTTAAGATATCCTCTAATAAATTGAACAAAAAATTGAAGTACAAGCAGGCGTCTATTCATACTACAACAGATTTCTATAACAATTCTCTACGCTATTCAAATTTCCCACGATCTTTTAATTTCGTTTATTTATATTTTATATAATACTTTATATATTTTCAAGCAATACGAACTAATGCTCTACTTCCCTTGCTTTCTTTTGCCCTCTCCCCTTATTCCCAATTTATAGAGAAGGTTTTAATCCTATTCCAACCTAAATTACTATTATTTATAATATACAAATGAATTGCACTCCAAAACTACTTGACTGCCACTTAAAAGCATACTGTAATAAGTATGAATCTAAGTCAAGATAGTAGATTTTTTTTTTGCCATATAGACAGTAAATATATATATATAGTATAGATATATATGCTTACATTCTTTAACTTGCTACTAGTTAGTTAAATTTCCTATCTACGAAACGATACAAAGAATAGACATGTAAAAGTAAAAAAAAAAATAGAGGAGCGAGGAAAGAGGGAAGTAGGGAGAAAATATAAAAATAAAGATAAAGAGGAAGAGGGAGAGAGTGTTCCGTAATAAAATTACAGAGTAACAACATTTCACGAATAATATAATGTTTCAAAACTTTTATTTATTATTTATTATACTTTATGTTTATACTAACTAGGTTAAGTTGGAGAAAGTTTATATCTTATAAAAATAATTTTTCATTTAATATGCATAATAAGTTAAATTTTTCTTTTACACCTCTTTTTTTTTATAAAAAAAAAGTATCTAGGAATTCGCACTTTTTATTTAATTTGTTAACTTATCAAGAAAAATGAGAGAGAGAGAGAAAGAGGGAAAGAGAGAGAGAGAGAGAGAGAGAGAAAGGAATACAAGAAATACAAAGAAGAAAGCTTTTATTATTATTTATTGCTATTATTTTATAGGTTCTTTCTGACGGTATCTTTGATAATTATCCGATAAGAAAAGAATCGACTCCTAAATGTTATAATTATGGTGCGAAAGCTAACTCTATTGATTGGACTACCACCTCACTTCCTAGGCCTACTGAACGAATTGTACCACCGCCAAAACCTGCTAGGAAGGCCCATGTTATACCTTACCAAAAGACCAATCACGGCCAAGCTAGGAGCTCAAGAAATCAATACCCGTCAACCGAGAACCACATCGAAACGATGAGAATAAAAAGATCGAAGTTGATTGGCTACAGGCCTGTGTTCAATGGCGTTGATAAGATAAGTGATAAAGAGCGTAAACGTCGCAAATGGCCTAAGAAAATGCTGTCGGATATGCCTAGCAGTGGATTGGATTTTAATAGAGCGGCGGATAGCGACAGTGCTTATCAAAGTGATTGCAGATTGGAAAAAGAACAATTGGATATAAAATATAGAGAGGATCGCCTTTCCATACCTGAAATACGATTACAGTTATACGGCGCTGGCAAAGCTGAATCAAAGAGAATATCTACGTTGAATACTGAATTAAAGAAATCGTGGCAGGACACAAATTCTGATGTGTCGAAGATCTTTCGAAGGGTAAACTTTCACTCTTTTTCTTTCTTTTCCTTTTAAAAATTTTGCCCTACTTTATTGTGTGTTCGATCGAACGGTTCTAGGCCTAGCGAAAGGTTGCTTACGAGAGGGGTTACCGCCCAATAGAAAAAAGCAAAGAAATTCGGCTTTTATTCTGTTATGACAATAGTCAACTCTTTACACATGAACATTTTTATTTATAGGCATTTGATAAAATATATTGATTGTTTTAGGTGGATGAAGCATTTGAGAAGAACGATTTCGATAGGGAAGGAAAACATCGTAGAAAGGATCCACTAACCGAATTGGAGAATGTCTATGCAGACGCTTTGAAAAGGGATGACGATACCGAATGGTTTATGTACGAAAAATGGAGACCTCAGGTTAAGAGGTTATCAATTGAGAACGTAAAGAAGTTGGAGGAAATCTCCAGAAGGTATTTTCGCTTTTATCTACACCTTCGCCCCCTTTTCACTCTCTTATCGTAACCGATAAACCGGTTGCTATGCTGATGGTTGCAAAAGTTCACAGGTTAAAGTAATGAAATTTCACGCTTATTACATAATAAACAATACCCGTTTTCTTATCTGTAAAAATACTTGCACAGTTGCACATTCGACGTTAGAGAGATTATTTTTTTATTCCAATAATTACAGATGTCGCCACTGTAAACTAATTGACAAATATATGAATAAATGATAAAAAAATAATTATTCCCTCTTCTAGATATGACTCTGGCGGTGATTATTCAAGATTATGGTTATCGAGATATAAGAAAGATCCAAAGTATACTTATGAAAGATTTGAGGATGACGGATGTCAACATAGACTTGAAGACGATATGGCCAGGAGGAGAATGTCGTCGTCAAATGATAGGAAAAAATCGTTAACCTCGGAAAGTTCACGAGACTCTTCGTCAATGAGAAATAGGCTAAGGTCAAGATCGTTATCTAACGCCGTTGCAGTAATGGTTAATAAGTTTGAATGTGAAGATGAGAACCACGAGGAGGAGCTACGAAATGGAACTGTGTTTAGTAGTTGTTACGACAATGACAGTGGTGAGAAACGCTACTTGGATTCGTCAAGTTTCGATGAAATAGATTCTGTTAGAAGACGCCATAATAATCGAGTGAAAACTTTGTCAACTGAATCATCTAGTCAGGATGAATCGCGATCTTGGTCACTTTCCGAAGGAGAACGGGGTAGGCCAAGAAGACCAAAAAAAGAAAGTTCCGGTATTCTTTTGGGAACAATACCTGCCGAGTCGTCAAGTCACGACGAACTCGAAAGGATAATGACCGTTCCTCATAAACCTTGGTATCCTCCTAAAACTGAACAGCCTGTAGCAAATAAAAATTGGACTGACATACTAATAAAACAAGAAGAAGATGCGATGACAGAAGCCTCGCTCGGCGATTTAGTTAAACGTCAGCCAGTATCACCAATTTCGGATTTAACAGTTGAAGCCGAACAGAATGATGAGCAATTCTTAAAAAGAAAAAGCGCTTTTAAATTAGTTAGCCCTAAAAAAGAAAATTCATTGCAAGAACTTGTAAAATCTTTCGAAAAAACAGCGCCACCTTTCTTAAAGTTGCCAAACGAGAATAAAAATGGGCTAAATAACGAAAGAAGAAGAAGTAGCTGCGTTTCTTAAACATATAGAGATTTACAGCTTGGTATTTGCTTGGCTTATTTTCCCGATATTCTCTTTTACTTTCTTTTCATTCTTTCTGTTCCTGTGTCCCTCCTTTCATCATCATTGTCATCGTCAAGCTATTATTTAGCTCTCTCTATCTCTCTGTCCGCCCGCTTTTCTACCATCTATCATATTCATTAGATCCGTTTAGCAACATTATATATATTTTCTTTCAACCTTGAATGAACAGTATTTTTATTTTATTCTCTTTTTGTTTATTTTGTCAGCCTATGAATTTGTTTTTTTTTGCACATATAATAAATGATGTATAAATGTATTATATACATTGAATACAAAAGATAAAACTATACATACAATATTATACATACAGTGTACAGTAGATCAATGTATGCAGTATACTTGTTATTACCATTATAGAGTTGTTTTTAATAATTACTCTTATTGGGTTTCAATTATTAATATTTAGTTTAAACTATATTAAAAAATATATGATTTACTTCTGTTATATAATACAGAAATATACTATAGAATGAAGAAAGAAATGAAGAGCTCAAAGGCCTAGAATTAGAAAAAGCTTTGGTAGTTGGGAATTGTTTTTCTTCTAAACACGGTATGCCGTACTTTATAGTTTGTAGCAACATTGACCAGGTAACGTTTTCTCTACTGATGTGTTTGTAGTACGATTACGTAATGTAGTAAATTGTTTGCAGAATGGTAAAACCAGTTCCTGTACAGTAGGTGACCGAAAAACGGATAAAGAAATCCTTCAGTATTTAGATGCTTATAAATCAAAGTCATTATAAATATTTTTTCATGTATTTTAAAAGAATACGAGTGTTTTATTGTCTAGAGTCTATAATATACAATTCTCTTACAGAAGTGAATCATTTACAACGGATCTTCTCCCAATAGAAGTTTTAAATAGGTTAGAAAAAATAGGTTTTAATCTCGTATCAACAACAGGAGTTGGTCAAGTTTGTATTTGGACTTTATATACCAAAATAATTAATAAATGTCTCATTAGATCTTATCTACAACCTCCACAAAATAAATAGCAAATCAATATTAATGTAAAATACACGTTTATGTGTATTTCATTTAAATGAAAACGTTTCTAATATACTTTTTCTCTATCTTTATAGTTTTATTCATATGTTCAATCTGCTTAGCATGTAGTCTATGTATGACTGAATAGTCAATGGTACGTTGTTTATTTTAAAATGTAATCATTTGTATTTCATGTATACAGGCCTACCGCTGTGAAAAATTGAGCGTAAAGAGATTATAAAAGACAAATTTGTAATCTAACGCCTGTTTTGATTGTTCATGATATTTTGAGTAAGTCTATGATACAAATAAAGAAATAAATATATAAATAAATATATGTACAAAGGAAAGTATCAACTGTAGTAGTGACATCTATTTGATAAAGACAAAAGATTAGTTTTTTAATCTGTCTAATTAGGCAAATAGTATTTAGTAGGTTATATTAATAAATTTTACATTAAGTTCATTGCAGTGCATTGTTCTAATTCGTTTTAAAAATTAAATTTTCTGTCAGGAATATAGTATATATGTCTATATTTTCTATTTAATTTACAAATGGTATAGGCACAATAGGAATAATAGTGAGATTATATAGTACATTCGACCATTTATATACTGTATATATACTGTATATACTGTATACATATATAATCATAGATGCATGTTCTCAACATTCTAAACATCTCAAAACTCATAGAAAAATATAAAAAGGAGGCTTGGTCATTTAACTAAAATAACGATTATTATAAATAATAACTCTTTTAACTCAAGCAATATTACAGGTTTATCAAAAGACTAGTTTATGGATTATTTCTGCCGTATTACCTATAAAATAAAAAATACAAAAAATGGTAAAGATTTTACTCCTATTTGAAATATAAAGTGGTAACTGTTGAAGTAGTCAGTATATCCTATATTATAGAATATACTATATATTTTTATTAATTTGATTTTTAATGAATTTTTTACGGATTAGGCCTATTTTGTTTATATTTATTTTATTCTCTTCTCAAATGCATCTATATCCCTCATAATCTATTTATCTATTATACGAACTATAATAATCTACTTGTACGTATTTTATTACATGTTCCTAGGATTAGAATGGAAAGATTCAGAGTTGATTTGCTCTTGTAGCAGGCGACGTCAATATAATGTAAGCTAGGAGCGTTACTAGGAGTGTTATAGCTTATTTTCAAATAGAAATAGAATTAAGGAAAGTTGTAGAGAAAACTCAAAATATTTATTATACATGTTTATGATTAAAATTGATTGATATACTGTAATTATAAACTGTGCAAACAACTATAGAAAGGAATACTGTAAATAAAATCCCTATTAAAAACCGATCACGCATAATAATTAACTTAGTACTATTAGAAATACACGTGGAATTGACCAAAAGAATATCTTTAGATATTATAGATATTATTATATAGATATTTATTAATTTAAAAAGGAAAGGTTGAAAAGCGGCATTAAAGTTCTCGATATATTTATTGATAACAATATAAAGTATTCGCTAATACTAAAGAAATACTTAAATATCAATTTATTCCATTGTAATAAATTTGATTCGCAACGCTAATTTTATAATTATTACGTTTTTTTAATATAAATCATAAAGAATGAGAAGGAAAAGCAAGTCCATTCATTAAAAAGTCATTTTTAGCTGGAACTTCTTCGAACAGCAAATCAATTATTAGTCTAACCAAAGTTTTCCCAGATAAAGATGCTTGCAAAATTTAGAAGAAGTTATAATGAAAGATTCAATAATTTCCTTTCAGTTTAATTAATTTCTAGGAGAATCTTTAAAATTCATGTTTTTTTAATAGGAAAAAATCTCATATCCCTCAACAATTTAGTAAAAGAATCTTAATTAATCAAATATTAATATGCGGAACTAAAAATAGATAAGTACAATAAATCCAAGAATAATATATAAATTGATGAAAAATTTGTGTAAATTCTACAATACGAAATAAATTATTGAGGAAAGAGAAAACTATTGTTGAAAAACAGAATAGATTTTCTTTTTTAAGCAAAAAGTTGAGTGTAAACTTGTGTATTTATTTAGTAAGAGAAATTTTTATTCAAGAGCAAGTTGGAGGATGAACTTGAGCAAAGATATTCAACTCGTAAAGGCTAGCAATTATAATGTAAGTAACGTACAAACATAACAGGGAAAATCCTAACTTCTTGTTCAACTTCCAGCCATTTAGATGGACAGACCCGATCAATAGCACGACAGTTGTTAGCAGCGTTATAGATGAATAAGTTAAACCTGTAAAATGAAAAAAAAAATTAATAATAAATTATGGGTAATCAATAGGTTTTAGGAATAATTTTTCTCATATTGATTACTATTACCTCTACTATACACAATGACTGGATCCCAATTTTTTGAAATGCATATCTTAAGGGTCCAAGGTAAACCAAGGCACAATAATATATCGAACACATTACTTCCAACTGCATTTGAAACAGCCATATCTCCAAGTCCTTTTAGAATAATACATCGAATAAAGAAAACGATTTTTAAAGAAAATTAATTCCAGAATAAGGAATTAATCTTTTACGTACATGGTCTCTATATATACTGTATATACTAATGTATATACGTATATGTGTATATTCTATCAATTATTCATCTAATCGGTTTGAGGTTTATACAATATGAATTAAGGCAGTTTTTTTTATCTTATTAAACATATGTACTAAATATATCCTTGCTAGATATTATTGTTAGACATTTTTAGTATTGCTATTCCATATTTAGGTCGAAATGTATATATATAAAATATATAGCTGTTATCAATTGAAGGGTAGATCAAAACGTTTATATACAATTTTCTATCATATCTTTTTACTCTCTATTGCTACTAGGAAACCTTAGAAAATCCTTATATAAATACAAACCATTTTTTACAACGATCCAACTAGCTATGGCATCTGGCATACTAACACCAAAAGCTAAGAAAATAATCGCCATAATTGTATCAGGAATATGGAATGTATATCCAATCACTGTTATCATCCACATCAATAAATATGAATAGATCCCTATCCAAACAACGGACATAATAAATGTTACAGTAAAGCACTTTTTCCACCTCTTTTTACGGCAATCAGGCACTACAAAAAGTCAAAGATAATAATAAATAGAACAAGTGAATGAATTTAAAGTACCAGTGATGTAAAGTAAACAGCTTATTGGGACTGTTAATATCCACCAACATAATTTCAGTTTATGATTAGGGGGTGCTAATATATGCTTATCATCATCTTCGCTGTCTTTATCGGCTTCTATAATTTAGAAAAATAGGGATAACTAATAAGAATTGAACAAAATGATAGTTGAACAAAACAAAACAAAAAACAATGTACATTTTATAATTTATCAATAAATTATATAAGAAAGCATTAAAATTCACAATTATTCTACTATTTGAAGAAATAATATAAATTATAGTAAAGAAAAAAGGTAATTGATTATTATTAACAGGCAGAGTATTTTTCCTTGTTTTGTTACTTTATGAATAATTGCTGATGTACATAAAATGTGTAAATTTATATAATAGAATAACCAACTTATATGCAAATATTTACATATATGTATATATACAGTATATGTATATGCATGTACATATCTTTATAATAAAAAAAAAGCTATTTCTTAGAAACATGTTTGAAATACTTTGTATTACTTTTTGACTCTTTTTTATATACTAACATTTATATAAAGGAAGATGTATCGCACTTTTCTATATATATATATATATAGTAAACACCTTGTTAATAGATATATCTATATATAAAGTATATTGTTTAGAATGTGTATAAGAATGTATATACAGACTTATGAAAAATAAGAATATTATTGTGATAAACAACAGAGAACTCAATTATTACACTTCGCTGTTATAATTTAAAATTGTCTGCTATTACAATATGTTCTTTAATAACTTACCTATATCGTCTTTACCAGGCACAAGTAATATATCTGTTTCTTCCGTATCCTCTTCTTCGTCTCCAATATTTATTTCCTCTAGCAGCTTCTCCTTTCTGCTCTTTCGATTTAACCAACTATTTATCGTTTCGTTCCAATACATTATGAAGATATATACCAAGTATAGGCATAATAGTAACACAGACTCGTACCAGTAGACTCTACCGTCATAAATAACAGCTACTAAAACTCCTATACTAACGGTATAAAAGGAACAATCTCTGAACAATGGCCACTTCTCTAAATAAACTATAGTTCCGGCACCAACAGCACAAAATCCAATCACAAATAACAAGTTGAAAACTGCAGAACCAACTACGGCGGCTAAACCAACATCATCTTTTGCGATAAAAACTCCTATAATTGTAGCAGCAAGTTCAGGAGCCGAAGTTCCCGCAGCCATAAAGGTAGCTCCAGCAACATCTGATCTATAATTGATAATATTATTATACTAAAAAGGAAAGAAGATTACATATATCTTATCTAAAAAATGTAAATATTACCACCTAAATAATTGTAACCAAAATTATTTAAATACTTAATTTATACTATTACATTTTTACATATTCATAAAAAGATTAAACTATACAAAAACCTTAAATGCAGTGCCTCAGATATCGATTCCAAAGATGGTACAAAATAATCGTCACAAACTAATGACAAACCGATAAAAGAGTAAAGGCAGGCAAAAATATGTAATAGAATTGCGCCATATTTTCGTTGTTCAATTGTAAACAAATCATCTGGAAACTGGTCGATTGAAGCCGGTGTACAATTCGTTATTCTTTCACTTAGCAGATTTCTAGAGTAATGCTTTTCAATTTCGACATCTGAACAAAAGAGATAAAGTTAAAAATTCAATTTTTCATTCCCTTGAACTCTTCTTCTTTATTCATCTATCTCCATCTTACGTATATTTCTTTAAAATATAGTTGATTTATATATTTAATATACACGAAAACTGCTAGTATTATTAGAGTATTAAAATAGGACAGTTTTTCTTTATATTGGTATTTCATTCAAGTTGCGTGACTATTATAAAGTGTTTTCCTTTTTATATGTTTGATATATATATACTCTATACTTGTCGAATGTATTAACAAACAAATAAATACCTCTATATTTATACTGTGTATAAATATATATAATATACATTTACGTTTCATAAACTCTATATATTCTATGTTCTTTTGTCTATTAAACATGTTTCACATACCTGCATATTGATTTATGTTGGTGAATTCTTCTGAATATTTAAAGAATTGAGCTTGAGTTGAGAAGATGAAAATGATTAGAAAAACTAGAAAAATAATCCTAAATTTTAGTTTTCTATGCATTTTCGCCTATTTTTCCATTATTCCAGTTCACCGTTCTGGTCATTCGTTCATTTTTGCTTGATAGCTACTCACTGCTGCATGTATATGCCTAATTTATTGAAGCATGTATTCTATACTTTGCTTATATCGAGCATAAATTGATCGTGTCGCATGTAAAGTAAAGTCGATTTTTATTCTTATTTTAGGGGTGTCGGTTCCAGCTGGGGGAAAATTGTTTGATTCAATTATTACATAATTATTATCATTATCATTCTGTACGATCACTATCATTTAATAAGATCGTCGAGCTGATTTTTGTATAGTATATTTCTATTACAATAATAAATCTAATCCTTGTAACGACGTCGTTTATACCTTTGAAGAGTTAATATTTTTCACTCTCTCCAAACATTCAAACTCTAGTCTGGATTAATCCCATTTTACTATGTAAAACATTCTCTATTAACTTTTTTATACATTTACATCAAGTAGATTAAAATAATAAAACTCCCACACAAATGTAAAATAATACAAAAAATGACGTGTATTTACAGTTTTAAACAAATGTTATACATATTACTTTTATGATATATCATTTTTTTAATTCGATATTATTAATTATTTATACTCTCTTCCACAGATAGATGGAGCAGTTGTCGAATCACAATAATTTTCTATTATTTTTTTATATACAGTGAAATTTTGCGAATTATAAAAAAAATGACACTGAAGCGACACCTAGTAGATATAATTTATTAATTGAAAAATTGAAGACATTGACGTAAAAAGAGAAATGAAATAAAAAAAATCCATGGCAGGTGTTAATGCCCTTTATTACTAATGTAAAGAAGTAATATGAAAGAATAAAAAGCAGCAACTATCCCTTTCTTTTTTATATTCCTTCAACATTCATAATCTGATTTTGAATTTCGCTAATACCTCTTAACACCTTACTTAGATAATATAAAATCTTAACAAAAGATTATATTTTTGTAAACATGATAGGTTTTTCTTCTCATTCATATTTCTATCTGCAATTTTCTCTATTCATAAAAAATGACAAGAAAAAGCTACAATCACTTCCGTTCAAACAGAAGTACACCCCATATGACACTATTTTTTTTCTCCCCTTCAGAAAGATATATATATATATTAGTATATATAAGCAAAGAGTAGATAATGATAGTAATAAACAAGTAGGAAATCTTACAAAAACAAATATTGAAGTCTCTAAAAAAGAAAACTGCTCTTTGAAAAATGAAGGTATTAAAAAAAAAAAGGTTAACAAAACAAATGTTATCGAAATTGTAAACAATCAACTCGATAAGAATTTTTATTTTTTAAATAGCCCTACTTTCGTATAAAGTTTTTAAAAATAAGGCTTTAATATAAGATATATTGATAGTGTTTAATGATTTTTTTCTCTTCTAAAAATAATACAATGGCCCTTGTACATATAATCTGTTGGGATAATAATAAAATATCTTTTTGGATTTATGGGACAATAGTTAAGGAATATGAGTGACCTTTATAAATTCGATTCTACTGACCATTAAATTAAATAGAGCTTAATTAATAAATTAATACACATACGTTTAAACACGCTTTTTTTTAAATGCGAAAGTTATGATTTATTATATAATGAACACTATTCATATATAAAAAAACATATATATATATTTTCATTTATTTACAAATATACTAGACAATAAAATATTAATGGCATTCGCGGAGAATAAACTCATTTCTATTTTGAATATATTATTGGCAATCATCCAATTACTGTTCGGCTCGGTTTGCGACTGGCTCAGGTAAATGACAGTTGCAACAGCACGAAATATTCAACCAAAGTCAAATATTTAACGCCAATCGCCTTAGAAGGATTCACTGTGTGTTCTGTTGAATATAATATATACCGTATAAAGTATACTATACATATACTGTATATATATATATATATATATATAGTATATATGTATATATATATATAAATATACTGCTATATATTTAGAAAGGACTATAATAAAAGAAAATTATTATATTGCAACCTCTCGACGACGGCAAGTATATGTGCTTAGATATTACAAATATGTAATTATACATGGCACGTTAAATAATTACTACCAACGGTAATCTGATAATTCTCTAATTATTTTCGTATAGATAAAAAAAGAAATCATTCCATTATAACAAATTCCTTCCTATTTATTTTAACCCTTTTTTTCTCTCATAAATTATATTCTGAATGAAACCATTTATGGCTTATAGGCCTATCGTTATTATCTTTTAGGCTACTTTATTTGCCTCCGTTCAAATATGACCCAAATGGAAAAAGATACTTCAACAGAGATTGAACAAAATGAAACTGTTTATAGAAAGGTTATGCTTCAAATATCTGTATTGGAAACTTTGAGAATTTATTTAGATCCTTCCCCCGAACTATTGAAGGATTTATGGAATAACAATATTCTTACCGAAGATGAATTGAACGTTCTCCAGGTTAGTAATCAATGTTCTATACGTAATTCAATATACTACTGTTTATATACATACTTTTTAACTATTAAACACGTTTACACAGAAATTACCATGGCCTACAAACAGGAATCAACTACTTCATACTCTTATTAAAAAATCATGGAAAGAAAAGGAATTTACAGCATTCTGTAATGTTTTAAATAAAACCGAAAAATTTGAAAAATTAAGCGAAATGCTACAATCAAAAGTAACAAAGATTGTTGAACAGTCGGAGACTTACGAAAGTAATAGGAATCGTCCTTTAAGTAGAGAATACGAAAGTCTCGTTTCCGGTCCTCTGCGAAAAATAAATCCGCAAGAGAGAACTGATATTCTAAGACAATTAAAAGAGAAGGACGATGAAATAAGGATCCTTAAAACCGAAAACGAAACTCTTAGAGAAGAATTAAAGCATACTACGACTAAATTACATAACACTGCACACAAGTTAAAAGTTCTTGAAGAGTCTGTCTCACATACGTTAGCTCATACTGATTTAGATGATCATTCTCTCGAGGAAGGTGTCAATTCCTTACAAATACGACTAACCGATGCTAATAAGGAATTGAATAAGGTCAAAGCCGAATTACATCAATCCCATAAAGAGAAAGACAAGTTTAAAGCTGAAGCTAAGCAATTCGAAGAAGATTTAAAGAGTACAAAGCGGCTACTTATGCAAACTGAAGATACTATGAAAGATTCCCATTATAAACTACAAAATAGAACATTTCAACTACAAACTAAGGTTGATCACCAAAAGGAGACGATTAATATTCTTCAAAATAAACTAGAAGAAAGCGAAAGGACAAAGGCCTTAACTAAAACAGCTTTAGAGCAAGACGCTAGAGATCTTCGCGACAAATTAAATGCCGTAATTTCCTCGCTAACTGACACGGAGAGGGAAAGAGATTCTATGAAAACTGAATTAGAAGATGTCCAAGATAAAACGAGAAAATTACTGACAACTTTAAATATAAGGGGAAAGCACACCAGCAATATAAGCTTAGCAGTTGATCACGCCAGAAACCTCTCCTACGCAAAAGGTAGAAGAGGTAGTTTGATACCTATGGATAGTAATCAAAGTTCAAGGAGAGGTAGCACTCCCTGCGCTAATTCCGATCCCCTTCCCTCCACTCCCGATAGTTTAGCTACCGACAAATCGGCAGCTGGGTTGATTATTCAAAAGTTACAGAAGGTCGATAGGTCGTCATGCGCCCGTTGTGGTAAACAATACGACGAAAATAGCAACTTTGAAGGGGCATGTTTAAAGCACGAGGAGGGTGCCACGCTAATAAACGAAGGTACTTCCTTAGCCGTGTGGTCATGTTGCAAATCTGTTACTACTATGAAAGGTTGCATAAAAGGTAAACACAGTTGCGAATAAACTGCGTTTTTCTTCAATATTTACTTATCAGCCTCGATTTTCGAATGGTGAGAAGATTTTCAGCTTTGTATTTGTCATGCACCGGTAAAGTGTAAATTGACTAAAATATCGACGTAACTTACTATGCAAACATATTCAATATATCGCTTGTTGAACGTAATATATATATCTACATAAGTATATATATATAAGACCCCATAAATTATTATTCTATAGAAAATTTGACGTACGCTGTGTTTATTTTCGGTAAAAAGGAGTGGAACAGTTTTACTACAAATTAAATATCTAGTCTTTCCTTAATATTATTGATTTAAAGGTTATAGAGAAAAAATTATAATAATTATTCATAAATAAAGAGAAATATAATAACAAAAATAAAATTTGTAGTAAAATGGCGGCCATTCTTTTTCAAAAATAGAACGTTCCTTTTTCTTTAAAAGAATATTCTTAATCTACCTTTCCTTTATCAATAATAGAGAAACGTGGCATAATCAAAAATGTTTTTTTTTTTGAATAAACTTGATTTTCTCAAAGAAAAGAAGAAATTAAAACCAAATAAACTGTAAAAATGTAACTGTTTATTTGTTTTAAGGAATATATATATTTTTATATCAAAAGGCGGGAAAAAGTAGCAAATATCCGATTGTAAACATAATATATAATTTAATAAAGAGACTAAAAAGTAAAAGTGAAAAAAAAGCCCATCTTTATTGTTTTATTTAAATATTACAAAATTATCAACTTGTGTGGCCATTTTGGAAGAAAAAAAATTTTTTTGTTGAATACTGAAAAATTGTTTGAAGCGAGTTTTAAATTACTTTTAGTATACAATCAATGAGTAATCTAGACAACTTGGAAAATAATGTATGTTTTGTTTATACATCTGCTTCCAGTATTCCGAATATAGCCAGTGTCAATTTCTCCCTCTCTCCCTCTCCATCTCTCTCTCTCTCTCTCTCTCTCTCTCTCTCTCTCTCTCTCTCGCTCTCTCTCTCTCTTTCTTCCTTTTTTTTCACACCAAGTTCCTGTAGCGCCATTTACCAAATCGACTTCAACTGGCAAACATGCTCTGCAAACTAGTTTTTAACGTATACGTAATTTCTTTAGTTTGGTCACAACCTCTAACAGGTAAGTGATTTTACATGGTCAGCTAATTAATGTACTAATTAACTTATGATTTTTTAATCAATATTTAATTATTATAAATGTAAAAGAGAAAGGTGAAAAGTGTGAAAAAGCTGCCAACATCTTAATGAATTTCATTAAAACTAAGGAAGCAGTCATTCCATACACGAATACGCTAATTCGCAATGATTATAGTTACTTTCTCACAAACTACGGAATTGATCTGCAAAATGAAGATGAAATACGAAAATTAGTTTGTACCTTATCAGGTAGTATAAAAAAGAATTTAGTTCTTTTTAACGACTAGTGATCAATGAACTTGTTTTATAATATAGAGGAAAATTTTGATATTGAAAAAACAAGTCAACAACTAAACTTAGAAAGTTCAACAAAAAATCTATTGGAATTGCTAAATGATACTGTTTTGTCAGAACAAAAATTCTCTAATAGTAAACGTCTTGTGAATTATTTAAGACGGTTTAGTACGGAATGTTATATTGGTGATTGGAAGTTTGACAATGGTTATTACTATAGGGCGGCAAAGTTGTTCTTTGCTATTATTCATATATATGGAAATAACTGGTGCGATAAATACGGTAGCCATATTATCACAAAATGCAATATACTGCCTCAACGCCGTCAGCATATTCCTTGGTTTTTCAGACCATTTATTGGTAAGATACTTTTGTACCTTTTATACAAGTGTATAGAAGTGAAATTTAAACTATTCTTTTGTTCTACTACTTCCATCATTCGTACCTTTGTAATTATCCGTTTAACAGCATCCCACAACACCGACGAAATGGTATACCTATTAAAATCAACGGTCCCTGATGACAACAAAATGGTATCAAATTTTCAATGCAGGCTTCTGTCGTTAAATTTAAAAGACAATCAAATTTAAGTGTGAAAAATCACAGAGGAAGTACTTCATTTATCAAGTGTCTATTAAACTTATTCTTAAGATAGCTATTCAAATCAAAGCTTAAACTTATAATGTCCCCGAGCTTTCTCGACCTAAATTTCGAATAAGTCCAATTAATTCACTAATCTCATATCCAATTTATTTTGGCCTATTTCAATTCTTAAATTTCTTATCAGTCATGGATTATTTTAAGAAGAAGCAGAAAGCTGTAAGGACATTTAAAGTGCTCTAATAAGTATATAAATCCTTTTTTGGAGTCTTAAATCTGCCAGAAACATAGATGATAACGTTTATTGTATAGTATAGGTCAGATTGCCAGAACACCCTCCTCCAGATGCTATATGTCAATGATAGTTTACAACTTATTTGTGTATAGAATTCAAATTTTAGTTCAAAAAGAGAAAAATTCATAGAATTCTGCATTGAAAATTAAAAGATAAAAAGCTACGTTGATCAAATTACTGAAATTGATGTTCACACCACTCTTGTCCAGTTGAAATTACTAAGGGAAACATTAGAGTTTTTCAATCAGGATTTTATAAATATGTTCAATGACATAAACCAATTGGGAATTTTGCCCAATACGGCTTTTAAACTCACTCCCGATTAAAAATGGATGGAAGAAAACTCGTATTCTAGCTATCTCGTTTTTTCTCTCCTTTGCCCTCTACCTCTAGGTGCTAGACAGCGAAGCTTGATATATTTTAACACTAGAATTTATATGGACAATAGATAATATTTCTAATACTGATATATACACAATTTTTCAAGTGATGACATAATATAAAAAACTTTATTAGAAAACTTAATATATAAATCAGAAAATAAAGAAATATAAGGAAAGCAAAGCTTAACAGAACTTCATATTTTTGTGAAATGATACTAAAAGAAAAAATGTTTAAACTGCAAAATCAAAAAAGAAAAGATAGACGTAGTTAAGATTTTTTAGGTAATTTCTTACTTTTAGCATCTGTTGCTTTCTTTGGTGAAGGCTTAGTCTTTTTGTCGGATTGTTTTTTAATAGGTGTGTCTTTCTTAAACACCTTAGTTGGTACACCTAACTCTTTCTGTTAATGAAAAAAAAGAATAATAATGCATATAGATTGAATATAACATTCCAATCATTATTCTACCTCCCATCCTAGGCGTTGGGCCAATTCTATGCATCCGTCATCAGCTTTACCTTTCCAAAAGACATCCCTAAAATAATTTACATAAATTACATACTAATTATCAATATGTACATTTGACCTATAACTGACCTGTAATTATTCGCTTGCCCAAATCTAAAATTACATCCACCTCCGAAAAAAAGAGCCTCCCAAGAATCCTGTCCCTAAGTAAGTAAAAAGAAAACTATTGAATAACAAGCTTGAATTCTTATTAAATGAAGTATTACATTAGATGGTGGAGGTTCCATATTGATATATAATCTAGGGGTTGTTTCCGGAACTCTATTGAAAGCACGAATAAAACGTTAGTTGGACAGAAGCCATTCGTTATTTAAATATACTTATTTATCAAAGAAGCAAATGGTTGGACAACTAAAGAAGTTCCGATAACAATCAGAAGATCACACTGCGGGAAATCCTGAATATGAAAGTTAAATATATTATATTTCTGTCAGAGAGCAAAAAGGTTATCGTACTGATTTTAGTCTTTCGTGAAATAAAGATGGCAAGGCCTCTCCGAAAAATACGATATCTGCAAAGATATGGGTATTGTCTTTGTTTATTATCTGTGATTTGTACTCTTATTAACAATTATACCTGGTTTAATTAGCCCGGAGCAATCTTCAGTTTTTTCGCAACGGGGTATCTCTTCTTTAAACACTTTTTCTATAGAAAGAAAACAATATAAAGAATTCAATTACCTTTCTGATAAACTCTTAAAATTACTATATTTTGTTACCTTTTACCCAATCCTGGCTGTACTCAGCTTTACAATTAAGACAATGCGCCTTACTAAAAGTACCATGAGCTTCAACAAGCATTTCATCAGTTAATCCAGCCTCTCTCTCAAGCATGTCAATATTCTATTCAACAAAGGTAAATTAATTAGGCGTTAGCAGGAAAATTTAAGAAACTACCTGAGTATAATGACGAAGAAGTAGTCCTTTATCCCATAGTATTTTAATAAATTTATGGCAAGGAGTTGGCTGGAAAAGGATTATTAAGATAAACAAACTATACTACTTTTAGTAAATGGAATTTAAACGTTATATCATACTTGAAATTTTCCAGGCCAAAGTTCACGAGCAAGATCATAGAAAGGATTCGGATTTTCCTTGAAAAAATCAATCGAAAACATTGCAGTTGGAGTTGGTAAGTTGTATTTTTGTAAATTATCGTATAGACCGGATCCCGGAGTTCTGAAATCAGGAATTCCTGCAGCTGAAAAGGATTGCATACCAAAATGATTTCTTTTTGTGCTAGATCGATAAGTAAAACTTACATGTTGAAATTCCGGCTCCGGCCATGGTTATAACTTTCTTGCATTTGTTTGATTTTATATATTCAGCTACTCCAGCAAAAGTTAATTCGGGTAGTACTTGCTCTGGAAGTGTCTCTTCTTCTTCATTTGCTATTTTCGCTTTTTCGTTTAACAACTTGCTTAATGCTTCTAATCCTCCATCTCCATGGAAGCGTAACAAATTAAGAAATAATCAGGCTTGTTGCATAATTTTACTTACCCAGGGTATTTTTAGTAGATTCTTCAGTTGGTTTTTCTGCCATAGTTTGCTTAATCTTCCGAAATTTTATTTGACAAGAGAAATCAAAATTTAAAGTATCTAAATCCCCTTTAAAACCCGTTGATTAGACTATTAATCTAGAAGGAGGTTATTAATCTAAACTAGAATCAAAATTTCTGCTAATTTTGATTGATATTGGTGAAAACTGTTAGATAATGGAAGATTTTACTTTGATGAAAGCGACACCTATGGCGGGACGTTACATTTAACCGTTTGTATGTAACATTGAATCAGGCGAAATATAGCATGAGCATACCATCATTAAACGATATTATTTCAAATAAAGAACATATAAAAAAACTCAGAGCATTCGGCGTGTACAATATATGTCAATTAATCAAAGAATGGCCAAATATCGCAAAAACTGTCGAGATGAACGATAAAAGAGTATGTCTTGCTTCGAAACAAGCGCTAGATATATGCTCGGAAATTGTAGAATCAGAAATGCAGAATGGAATGGACGTTTATAATAGAGAAATAAGTGATAAATTTCCAAAAACAATTACAATTATGAAAGAACAACTGCATCCAGCTGATATGGTTGAGATATGGGGTTCTGCGGATGGTAGATTATCAACTATCTGCTTGGAAGCTTGCTGTAAAATATCTTACAATCTAAAAGATTGTGTTGTAATGTATGTTCATTCGAATTCCCCAGTCTTACCGATGCAAATTGGAAGTATTTGTAAAGAATTTATACCAGAAAGTGATTTGAAAGATGCTTCTCGAGCTCTGATTAAGAACATCCTATTGAGTCACGTTAATGATATTTACCAACTTCTCGATCTTGTCTATTGTATAGCCAATGGAGGATATGACAAACTAAAGTTTATCTTTATCGATTGTATCTATCAATTTATTGCGGGATATTTTACTGTGGAAAGTGAACGATATATAGAAATCGTTCAAACTGTAATAGACGCGTTGAGAACTCTGACAGCTTCTCGACGTATAACTATCATTTATACAAACCACTTAGTTAGAGACGAAATTAGTGATTCGGTAAAACCGGCATTAGGAAAATTATGGGCTACACTGCCCACTAAAAGGATATATATATCACCACCAGACGGCGTATGTTAACGTTTAAAAAATGTTCTTTCTGTACCTTTACAGCATAAATATTAAAATTGCACTAGGTAATATTTAGTACTGAAGAAATCTAAGAGAATCATTCATATAATAAGTTAAGGAAGACATTATCAAATTGGCATTATTGGTATTAATAAAACATTGGAAAAGGAGGAAATATTAAAAAGCATATATAAATTTATATATATATATATATGTATTTACATATTAAAAGAACATTGGCTAGTATTGGAAGAATAATTGCTTATCTTCGGCAAGTCTCTTATATTACATGCGATTAGTTGATCGATGTGAAACGAGAAACTACCAGTCTGTTATTTCTGTACAACATTTAGACATGATTTTACTTATGAAGAAGAAGAAACGAAAAAAATTTGCTTTATTACTATTTATTCTCTTTATGTTTATTATACAAGTGACATTAAACTATAAAAAGCCTGATTTGGAAAATTTCAACATGGTAGAAAGTCGACATACTGTTAAGAAACTTCGTAACTTTATAACTCCATTCTACTCACGTCGTAGGAGAATTGGTAGAGTTGGACGTCGTAAACCTCGACATCGAATTGAGCCTACAAACGCAATGCAGTTGGTTACCTTAAGTGCATTCGTTAATTCGCTAGAAAAGCCCGTATAGTGGAATGGTCGATGCAGAAAAAAAGGATCGTAAAGTTCGTTTAACAGAAGGTGAGTACTTTCTTTAATCAAACAATACTGGTAGGAGGAAAACCTTTAATGTTGCTTTTTATAAAGATTAAAATACACATTAGCACATTTATATGCAGTTTACAATAAACCATAGAATTTGTATTAGTATATCCTATTTATATTAATATATAAATAAAAACATATATATATCTATATACAATATATATAGAATATGCATTTTTACAGCGTGTTTTATGTAAAGTATATCAAAATTTGGACTAATCTCTACTATTGTATTCGTTAATTTTAGTTTTCTATATGCCTTTCGAAAAACAAGCAGATTTCAATTTTCCAATTTCAATAGGCCTATTATTGCTGTTCTTTTAACGCAAAAATAAATATATTCTACCTCCATTAAATTTTCTGCACGCTAAATTCAAATTATTACTAAAATAATAATAATAAAAAAAATGATTTATATTTTCTTTATTATAATAAAAACAGGAATTATTTATATATTCATTTTAATATAATTGTTGTTTTTCTATTTATTGCAGTGGAAAAAGAATCTCGTTCAACTAGATGACGCTGCGAATCATTTACTTTTTATTTTTGGTAATAGAATATCTAACGCTTATGACGCCTTTGTGAAAATTTTTCTTGGATTTTAAGTTTCTTTATTTAATAAACTTTTAAAAAACATATAATTAAAAAAGTTATTAATAAGTTTTCTTGTATTTTAAATATCTTTATCATTTGTTTTCTGTATTTTGAAAATTCTAGATATCTATCTCCTCTGTACATAGTCTAATTAAAAGTTCGTACAAATAGGCACGTAATAAGATGATATATAGTTATTTTATGCCATGCATGGAACACGCATAGTTCGTCGTGTGCATATGCTTTGACAGCAGCGGATGTTTTTCCTGTACCATTTACCATTATTTCTTATCTGTACAAAAAATGGACGTTGCATAGACGCTAGCGAAAGTATAGCACCACAATCAAAAGAAAAGTCAAAAAAAGCAAAAAAAAAAGAGGAACAACACGACGTTTTTCTGTTTCTTTTTTCCAGAGAAGGTTTTTTTTAATATTTTCAAGCAATTTTTTAAACGGAACTTTCAGCACCTATGAACTTTCGTTGACGGTTTGTCGATTGAACAGTAGTGACTGGAGGAGAACCGGAAGTATCAAAAACTGTCACCACCATTATTCTAGATTTGCATGCGGCTACGCGTTTTTCCAAAATTGTGGTTTCGTTCTCTAGTGCCTGAACGTAGTGAGGATCGTCTCTGTCCATTTGTTCTGCCACGTACAAATCGTAGCTCCATGTCGACGGATCAATCATTAAGGCTTCCTTAGCTGACCGTAGCTCGTCCTTGAGCGTGGCTTGTTTATTGAGAAGACGTCTTATCCTCGCCCTTCTCGCTCGAACGCCATCGTCTTTAATCGCTCTGCATTGTAGACGTTCAACGTCCTTGGAATTATAGGCTTTCAATTCAAAACCAGCTGTTACACCTCCAGCAGAACTTTCACTTGTCGAATCTGCATGAGCTGAGGAAGAAGATGTATTTGTACTATCTCTTAGCATACTCTCGTATCCTGATGACATGTCAGTTTTCGAGTGACGTTGAGCGTTAACTGTGGGTTCTGTAACTGTGGCGTATGGGGATGCTATGGACGGTCCGCTTAGCTTCTTTTCTTTTTTAACAGGAGAAGGCGATTTGGAGCAACTCCTAGTAGATTTACTGGAAGTTGATGAAGAGGCACTCTTCGTAGGGGAATTATTCTTTTTCGGTGAGACTGTTGGTAGTTTGGACGCCTTCTTAGATGGTGTAGGTGTTGACGTAGTTGAAGAAGATTTTTTTGATGATATAAAGGCTCCAAATCGACTTTTAGCAGATAATTTTGGCGAAGGTGATGCTACGGATTTTGATTCTTTTTCTTTTTTGCTTTTATCCTTCTTTGATGTTGGCAATTTAGATTGCCGATTTGGCGTCTTTTTATCAATGTCATCCGTAGCGTCTTTCGTTACTTCGACATTATCTCGAACCATCTCATCTGCATGCATATGTAAATTAGGATTCGACGCCCCGTCAGGCCGTCGTAGGCACATGGGCCGAACAACCGCCTTGTCATCTCCATCGGTCGGCACATGGAATGAAGAATTATGTGACGTACAGTTTATGCGCCAGGTGGCGTTCTCTTGAACACATTCCAGTCGTTCATCGGCGTCAGCCTCATAGACACTTTCTCTAGTCGTCGTTGGTTCGGATGATTCTGTCGTTGTATTCAATGATTCATCCAGCTTAACGTCGGTAGTTGTCAATTTAGAGACGCCTCTGGGAGGTGGTGCAGGTTTTGTAGGCCTAGTTATACGTGGACTCTCTGACCTTGTTCGATTAGAGGTCGGCGGTACAGCCACTTCTGCAGAAGTGGGGGGTCGCCTCTCTGATTGGCTTCTAGAAGGCAACATTTCTGTCCACATCCTCGATGGACGGGCAGCACTTTTTTGATTACCAACACAAAATTCAGTAGGTCCGTCGACCCATAGTTCATTTGGCTTTTTATCGTGGGAAGTGTCAAGATAGCGACCAATTGGGGGAGGAACATATGTTCCCTGAGGAGGATCAGGGTAAGAGATGTAGTGATGGGGAGAATAGGCAGTCGGAACTGGTAACGGCTGTAAACATGGGGGTCCGTCAACCCAACATTCTTTAGACGTTGGATTAGAAGAAACGTTTGCTTTTCTCATTGCGTTACGACAAGCAGCCTTTAAGGCGCTTTTCCTCGGTGAGTTTTTTACACCCATAGAAGGAGGAGGTGGAGGTGGTTTTCTAATTTCGTCGACTGTTTCAGTTAACAGACATCGACTCATTGGCGGTGGTATTGTTAATCCTAACTTTTCCGGTGTATCTGTATCAGTTGTACTCTCGCTGAGTGATTGACTCCTCCTTCCGACGTAAATTACAGTATCGCAGGATTGCTCAGAACTTGACGAATAATCATGACCGGAATCGCTCGAGTATCGAACGCCCATTCTAACGCCCATTCTTAACCTTCGTCTCCCAACGCTCTCATCGCAAGAAGACCCCGATTCCGAGCTATTTGTCATCTGTTATGTAACAAATAGAAAAACATCCCCTATAATATTACTGTACAATAAATAAAAAGCGACCTTTGCCCGCTATCAATTATGGACAAATAGGACGCTCTTATTACGAAACGATTGCCGGAGCGCATTTGGCGTCTGGCCGACTAATTCGATTGACGAACCTTCGTTTTTCGCCTCTTCATCCGATGAATTCTAGACGCCAATTGTATAACTTGAAGCGTCTCATTGTAGGCGTGTATGGACGGTGAAACGTGGGTTACTAAGCAAGCCCTGCACGACAAACTGCCCAGGGCTTCTCTTAATAGTTGCGTCAACTTGCTATCCCTATGCGGTACGTGGCGTTGGCCATTTAACAGGGCCAATATGACGTTGCCGAGGGAGGATAAGCTGAGGGCGGCACCATCCTTACTCTTCCCGCAACTTCCTAGGTCGATTAAATGAAGTCGGCTTCTGCCTCCGGCAACTGTCAGCAGAGGGCGTTTAGTAAAAATTTCAAATTTATGGAAACGATATATTAGATATTCTTCCTATGGAAGTTATCAATAACTTACCTCCACTGCCCGCTTGCCCAGGTTTTTCGGCTGCTTTATCTAGCCTGTACTGATAAACGTGCAGGGTAAATAATAAATGAGAATTTCTAGCGTCCTCCTCTGCTTCCGGTACAGTTCTAGCAGCAATTGCAGCGTCTAAATAATAAGCTGCCCGATGAGCCGATGGTGCCCTTAGTTCACTTTGATTCTCCAACTGAGTACCCATCACTGGATGTTCTCTTAAATAAACTCCTGGTGCAGTTGAACCGCCTGACTCTTGAGCATTAGCGGCCTCCGCTAATAAATCCTTAAGTGTCTCCTGCTTGCCCATCACTTCAACAGCCGATACACGAACTGAGAAACGTGCTCCCGTTCTCTCTTTCTCTTCGTGTATTAAGCGGAATAACCAAGATATTGCACAAGGTATAATACCCAAATTTTGAGGATTATCATCAACACCAATCATCGAATAAGTCTTGCCTGTTTGGAATAGTTTAAAATTGGACCATAAACATAAACATATACTACACTTGAGTATGGCTACTCGAAATCGGTCGTAAATTTCGCTGAAATCTGACAGGCGAAGAAATGTCAGACAGGCGCCGAATAAAAGGAAAAAAAGAGAGAGAGAGAGATACAGATTGATAGAGAGGGAGAAGGTGAAAAAGAGATGGAAGTTAGAAAGTGTGAAAAACATAAAGAATTTTCGTGGTTGGCTAGCGGAGAATTTTCTCTTCCTTCCTGACTTATTCCACTCCCACCCCCTACCACCCCCACACTATTTTTCCCTCGACTGCAAATAGAATGTTGCTGACTATTTGCGCCCTTCCCCAGTCACAATCAACGAAATCTAATAATCTGCCGAGGCCTAGATCGTGAGAGCGTTTCTTCCTTTCGTCGCGCGTCTTATAATTCGATTGTCGAACGCCGACCAGAGACGAGTGACGAAAATTTTCTATCTATCATCTATTTTGCCACCCCTTCTCTCTACTATTTCTTTCAATCTTTCTACAATCTTTTCTCCCATTTTCCCCTTTCCTATTTCTTTCGCCTATTAATCTATATTCGCTCTCTTTTCTCTATTTATTTTATAGAAAACACGGAAATGGAAAGTCCATCGGGCGTTTAGTAGACGCTAAGCTTCTTATACAGAATCGAACGTACCCAATCTGGCGTGACCATAGCAGAATAGACAACCATCGGCACCGTTAACTACCGACTGGATAATTTCTACAAGGCAGGTCGAATTCATCTCAGAGAGCATTGCATCCTGACCAAAGATAGCATCAAATGAAAAAGTTTTAGGAGGTGCAGGAGCCATATTCCTTCTATGAGCGGATGTAGGATAGCCAGTAACAGAGGGGTCAAAGACGGTGACTTGCTTCGCCCTTGTATCAACTGATAAGTAGGATTGTGATGCATTGTTTGAATGTTCAACTGGACATATTCTAAGCATAACTCGGACCTGTATAATAAACAAATCAATCTTTAATACCATCGTTTTCAAAAATGACAAATGATTAATAAGAAGATATAAAAACAGACTATGATAGAAATAGGAAAAGTCGACCAAAATTGGACGGTCGATTATGCAAATCGCTACGACAAACTTAATATATCCGCCTATATAGGCTAGGGCTTGAGAGCTAGCCTTTAATATAACAAGCGCAATAAACGTTACTCGTATAATATTGTCAAGAACAGCTGCGTACGACTTGAGGCAAAGGATGGTCGAATAGAAAAAGAGAATGGAGTTGAAGAAAAATATTACAACAAGAAACAGGAGAATGCGGGAAAAAATGATAAAAAAATAAACCGTAAAAACTATATGCAATTATGTAAATATACAAATATATAGTATATTTCTATATATATGTATATAAATACAGTAAATGTATATATATATTTATATATACAGTGTATACAGTATACTGTATAAAGGAATTCGTCTCAGGAAGGAAACATAGTCACCTAAAACGACTATCGAACGTTTTTTTTATCTCTCTCCTTCTTTTCCCTCCAGTTTTTCTTTCTTTCTCTATTTCTCTACCATTACAATTCTATCTATTTATTACACTTTAGACATAAGCTCATGATAGTTTGTATATATAACTTATAACTACTATGTATAATCGCATTTTTCACGTCTTTATATAAATATATAATACAGAGATCTATATGCGCATTTCTTAGTCTTTATTATCTCTTTCTTTTCAATGAATAGGCCTGTATTGGAGCTATACACAACGAACGTTGCGTGTTGCAAAACCCTGTCACACAACCGTTATCTTCGTCTAAGAAAAAAATCACCTGACGACTTGCCAAACTATTCCACTTTTCTCCATCTAAATAGAATCCTTGAGGCGAAATAGAGAAATTTACGTCTTGTAAAAAAAAAAGAAACAGGAAAGAGGAAGAAAGAAAGTGGTAGGTCGAAGTTTTTAAAAGAGGCATAACGGAAGATAGGGAAAAAAGTAACGAAACGGACTGGGATGGAGGATATTGGAGGAAAAACTGTACAGGAGGGACAGAAAAAAAATAACATAAAGACGTCTTTTGGCTGTCAGGGCCGATTTACTCCCTTCAATATATTTATATCGGAAAAATCGATCGGTCGAGAATATCAACAATCTGACCACAAGACGTCCAGCGAGACGCCTAAGCAAATTCATCGATTTGCACCACGTTGGTCCAGCTGCTCTTGACGTCTTGATAAATAGACGCCGACGTCTACTATATACATTCTATTCGTTGGTAATATATATGTGTGTTTTATATATACTGTATATATATAGTTTATTACTGTATACACACTATATATAAATAGTATATATTATATGTATTATACTGAATATACAGAAATTACAGAAAAGTATATAGAATAAACATATACGTGGTCAGCTCTTTCGATCGACTTCGATGCTAGGCCTACACCGAATACGTTATAAGCGTCTAGAGCCCACTCGAGAACTACTGCGTATCTACTTAACAATACGACGCTATCTTATTGCAGTTGGTCTACTGCATAATTACGAAGCGCAGCTGCATATAAAACGAACTCGTCGCAGTCAGCGACGTCCATCTCTTGGAAACAAACTCATCCAATTATAACAATTGATCAAAGCCGCTCATCAATCAACTAAAACTACCGCAATCACACTAGCCTTCTACTTACTGCAATAAACAAGTAAATCTAGCTACTATGGCACGGTCTCTTTTTATTTCATTACTCCTTCTCGTATATACACGCATTCGCTTAATCTCGTTTCTATTTGATACAAATTCGGCGGTATCCGACATAGTTGCCTTGGAAACGCTACTGTCATACAATATAAAATGCTTTTTAAAACGACTAAGCTAAACTGTAAAACAAAAAGAACAAAAAAAAAATGGAAAACAAAAATCCGTCACGAAATATTCTAATCACAATCCCAGCCCCGCTCGCGTCTAATTGGCGTCGAACGAAACAAGCTATATCCGAATTATGCGAAATATCGGTAGATGCGTCTTATCGGGCGCAATTCACGTCCCATGGGCGTCATTTAGAACGTCCGCTTTCGATACGCAGTAGCGGAATGTACATATACATGCACACCGATCGTATACGATTCTTATTGATGAATATACAATCTACACTTGAGTAGAGTAGAACGTCAGGTGCTTTTAGTACAATCCAATTAGTCTTACGCTCAGGTATATAGGCGTCTAACGGCGTTTAGAATATAGAGGTTAAATAGCGTCGAAATGAGTAGATAGTCCTAATTAGAATGAAAGAAAATAAAAGAAAATTTTTACCTTTCCAGATCCAGGACTTCCGTTCGTCCTGACACCATTCCGAAGAAGACATGGAGGTGCAGAAGGAGGATTAGCTCTTATAATCTCTCCAAAATTAGTAGGGAAAGACGTAGGGGTAGATGGTTGTTGTTGACGTTTCTTTTTACGTTGCGAGGTTGTGAGTTTTTGTGCAGCCCTAATCGTAAAATTAAAAGAAATTGCAATGATTACATGGTAAAAAATAACAATAAATAAGGATGTAATAAAATTTTATAGCGTTTATACGTATATTTTATCAATTTATCTATAAATATGTCTTATATATGTGTATACGTATATATCGATATAGATTTATATCTTATATTTATAAATTTATATATGAGAGAGATAAATAGCGAGGGAACGGGGAGTAGACAAAGCAATACATATAGACAGCTTATAGATGAGGCAAAGACGTACGCGTAGGAATAAATATTAGATGACAACCGGTGGCAATAATACTAAAAAGGTTGACACTCGTTCGATTCTCCGGAGAGGATTGTGTAGGCTCAATTAGTCACCTGCGCAAATTAGCCATACCACCTCTCCAAAGCCGCAAGAATTGTGACCTCTAGATAACTGAATAACCTCTTTTTTAGCAACTTCCACCCGTTCCCTTAATATCTGTGCATCGTCACAATCATTCCCCTCCGTCCTCCAGCCAATCTTCCCGCCCATAAGCACGTAATAACAATAGCAATAATAGTAATAATCCCAAAGAAAAAATTGCTACGTTAGTGTATGGGCAATAAAGATCAGGACGGTTGGGGGAAAAAAATGGGAATTAACGAACAGAGTCTGCTTTATTTCTTTTTTTTCTGTTGAAAAGGGAGCGTTATCGTCCCAACCATTAGAAAAACGAGACCAATGGGAGAAATAATAAAATAAAAGGGCGCTGACGGAAAAAACTTGGCTTATGTATTGTCCTTTTTTTTAATAAAAAAAAACACGCAGCATTGATAATGCAGGAGTAAAGAACGCGAGCCGCATTGCAGATATTCGGTCAAGCGAGAATATGTCGGCACGTGTTTAAGGGGGAGAAAGAAGGGTGTTTGACGATGGAAAAAAATTGAGAAAATAACACAAGGTATAGCAGATTTAGTCAACAATATCGTATACAGACCCGACCGATAAGCGCACATGACGGCGTTCAATTGGGCATACATTCTAACGTGACGCCGACAATAAGATTCGCTGAGTATAGACGGCGTACGGTACGCAAACATTCCCTCTTTTCCCTCTTCTCCTAATACAAACAACTGCAATTTTTTTTCTCTCACCACCTCTTGTCAAATGTCATCAGCGTAAATAGAATGGTCCTAGTCCGACCGTCATTAGACCGTCTCTCAACACCTGCCAACCGCATTATGTATAGGGCTAATTATATATAGGCGCCATGTGCTAGGTTCAGATGATATACGGTCCATTAGATAGCCGCAATAACGCCTGTAGATAAAAACGAATTTTGGACAGATGCTTCGTCGGGGCTTTTTCGGCTCCCGCGAGATGGTGCGAGAAAAGAGCGAGAATTGGTAGGGAGAACTCGTTGCGTAACTGGCCTATGGGAGTCGTTTTTGTCAGTGCTAGTTGTACATGAGCTAATACAGGCAACGTTCGATTTCTCTTAAACTGATTACTAGTACTTGTATAGGCCGTAATCGAGTTTTGTCGCGGGACTAAAAAAAGAGAAAGGGGGAGGGAAAGAAGGAGGTTTAGAAAGGCGTACGTATACTACGCTACGCGTAATTTATCATTAGTATACACTTAACACCATTCGTACAACAACCCAGGCATAATGTAGTATATTATGGAATATGTATCTTCTGCTGTTATTCGTTTTTTTTTCTTTGCCTTTCACTCTTTCTCTCTCTTTTTTTCCAACGTGATTCTTTTCTGCAGTAGCCTCGTATATATTTGCAGAGCTAACGCGTTCGCTGCAACAAATCTCCTCCACTAGCGCACGTGTAAACAAGCGGCTCGATAAGACTATAAACACTGATAAATATCGCTAACAATGTTTCCAAGAGCTCGTTGATACGGTCACCTGGCATCCACTCTTTTCCAGTATTCCAGACTCGTCGTCTAATTTTTTTTTATCTGACTAAAATACGCTTAATCTAATCGGCTGTAAGCCCCTGACCGTTACAAGACCGTCTATTACGTAGTAAAGGAGAGAAAAGTTGGAATATAACTACTCTAAATAAATTACTGTTAGAGAGTTGAACATTTTTATTAAAATAAAGTTATAAAGTATGGTCATTCGAATATATAGAAGTGTAAATAAGAATGGATAAGGGGAAAAATTGATTATTACTTTTCCATTTATAAATATATCAATAATTTTTTTTATCCCTGGTTTTTTTTTTAAAAAAAACTATCTAAAATTTGCTTTAGTTGGAATTCTACACCAGTTAAAATTAAAGAACAAGCTTAATATTGTTAATTAACTGTAAGGAGTACGAGTATTGTTTTATAGGGCGTGGTTTAAGGTTGGTACAAGGCGTTAGGTCTTTCTTTCATTATTTAAAAATATAACAAAAAGTAGGAGTTATAAAGAAAAAGAACTTAAAATATAGGTGAGACATATAGACATAGAATATAAGAAAGAGTAGTATATGGGTGAGAACCTTCTTAAATCTTTTTT